CCTATTCCAGCTCAGGGTCTTAGTACTTGATGTTTTTCCCCCAGAATGCTCTTACATGACTGTTTACTTAATAGTGACTCTGGAGTGGCATTTGTTTCAAGGACCAGGCAATGCAGCCGGCTCAGGGGAGCCCCGCTTCTGTTTCTTCTTGTAGGCCCTGGAGTTCTGGGAGAGAAAGACTAACTTGCCCCTAATCAGAGAATGTATATATTTGTCCCCATTCTGCCATCTGCAACACCGCGGGGGTGCAGGCTTGCTTCCTATGTGTTTGCAGATGCCTCGCTGGCCCACGGAGGCCCTGGGGACCTGCTCTGAGTAAAGGCTTCCACACTGTCCACTTGCTGTCCACAGCCCCTCATGAGAGGCAGGGAGCAGGGCCTCTGCTTGGGGCTCCCAACCCAAAGGAGCCTGGGAGTCCCAGCCCCAGCTCCGGCGCTGCGGTTGTGCTGGGTGACCTCAGGAACTCCCAATCTCACTGCATCCTGTCATGGGAGGAGATGGGCTCACCAGGTCCTTGCCTGCTTGAGCTATCGGAATCTTCCCTGAAGCTCCCCCTCCCCCACACCATGGAAAAAATTTGGTCTTAATCATTCTCGGGGTTTTTTCGATAATGGGAGGTGGGGATGATGTCCCCCAGTGGCAGCTGGGCCTGAGCTGTCACCCCAGGCAGGAAGCAAACAACCCGTGACTCAGGCAGGGCATGTCACAGACAGTGGGAAGAGGGGTGCCTACCACTCACGGCCGGGGGCTGCTCCAGCTTCTGGATCCCAGGCTGAAGCCCAGGCCTCCGCAGACCCTGCCCCCTGCATGACCCCAGCCCTCATCTGCAGCTTCGGGATGACTCTTGGGGCTCCCGGGGCTCCTACTGCTGACCAAGGCATCCGGTCTTACCTGCCTTAGAGCGAACTCAGGGCAGGAACCCCGAAACACCCACCTGGCAGGTCCGAGAGGCCCCCATGGCCCTGCCCTGCTTCCCGCCCGTGGGGCTGAGCGCCTTACAAGTGACTGTAACTGTAGGTCATGTCAGAATGTTATACAAATTAGTTTATTTTACCTTTTAATATGACAATTCCAAAGTTGAACTCGAAGGTAACCATGGAAGCTGCTGTACATCAAAGGCAAGAGTCAGTTGGCAGCACCTTCGAGGGCTCCAGCGCCAGCATCCAGCCTCCCGCCTGCAGGGACACCCCCCCGCAGGCCCAGATGCCCACACTCGAGGGGCAGGGAATTGTGCAATAATACAAACATTTTGTTAAAAAGAAAACAGAATGGCTATTTGCCTAGGACACTTCCTATATTGATGTAATGCAGTTGAAACCGGAATCCTCCCCAGCGAGACCAGGGTCTCGGCCGCTGTTGGGCAGCTGTCAGCATGACTCCAAGGAGTGCCAGACGCTACCTGGGGTGGGCAGTGGGCCGTGCAAGAGCGGAGGTCCAGGATGGTCCAGGCTGGAGGTCAAAGGTGGCCCAGCGGGGAGAGCAGCTGAGCAGGTTCAGGTTTACATAAATACACACAGGGGAGTCGTGCACACAGAACTTGTTATACAAAATAGATGTACGTGATCTCACAAAATCTTGATACAAATAGGCTATAAAAATATAAACTGTAGTGAAATATACAAAAGTATTAACAGATACTCAAAACAGATGCTCCGTAAAAAACAAAAGCTCACCCACGTGAAGCTGGCAGTTCCTGACTGTATGATGCAGGAGGCGCCCCTTGGCCGTGGCAGGTGCACCCCGGCAGGCCAGCCAGCGGCAGCCCAGCCTGGGTGTCGAGCAAGTCTTTCCGGGCGGCACGGGAAGGAAGCGTTGGCTCAAAACAGTGGGACTGGACCCTACGGTTCTGGAGGAAAGAGTCGGGGCCATCAGGTCCCCAGCCTGGAATCAGGCCAGCATCTGGCTGTGCCCCTGGATGCCCGCACCACAGGGGAGACTCTCTAAGAAGCTCCCAGCCCTTTCCTCCACCAGCTCTGCTCTCACGCCTACTGCCTGGACACTGATGATGACACCCCGGTGCTGCCTGGGGAAGGGCCGGCACCTTGGGCTCCAGACCCACGCAGGCACCAGTCTCAATTCAGGTGCTTTCACGATGCGTCTTTTTGGGACAAAATAGACAAAACAAGCCTATTCTTGAAGGTGGTGTTCTTGCCCCAGGTTTTGGAAACTGAAGTCTGAGGGAAGCTGGAGTGACTGATCCGTGGAGCCCGACCCCATTCCCACTGTACCCCAGGCCACCAGCCTCGTGGGACGTGGGAGTGGGGGAGAGAGAGGGCCTTCAAAGAGCAGTGAGGCTGCTGGGGCCTCCTCATAGGACCCGACTCACAAGGCAACTTCCTGAAGAAGCTGGACCTCAAAGACCTGCTCCCAGGGTCCAAAAGGATGAAAAACACATTTCTGATCCCTGACAAGAGTCAGAGGCTTTTGGCTGAACGTAGAGACCAGCTCCCTCTATATGGTGAAAAGCCTGGTATGCTGAGCTGGCTGCTGGGGGGCCGTCACACCAATGAAGAAATCACGTCTTCAAAGGACACCGATCGAACTCTCAGTCTGAGTGTGCTCAAGGTTTGTCAACTCGCGTTTATTTCCATTGTCTTTTGGGTAAAAACTCCACTTGGGCCCTCGCCAGTTTTCTCAGTGGTTAGAGCGTCGGCCTGAGGACTGAAGGGTCCCGGGTTCGATTCCAGCCAAAGCGTGAAAAGTAATGGAAAAAATATCCTTGGGTGAGGATTGAAAATAAAAAAGCTCCATCTGATATGGCGTCCTTCCCACTGGAATAATAACATGCTGGAAAGCATCCTCTCTCATCTGCACAGAGGGTGGGTGGTCCACGGAGCCTGAACAGAGCCACTTTCTTCCTGCAAAGCCTCTTTCCAGGGCTTTAAAAGGCAGTGCTCGGGGTCCTCAGACCCACCAGGCCAGCCTGACACGCTGGAGGCCGTGAGACCCCCACGCTGAGCCTGGCCCGCAAGAGGATGAGCCAGTTTCCCTGGAGTCCCGTCCCACCCGAGTCACCTCTGAGATGCACGGAGAGCTTCCTGCGGGACCCGCGGCGCCGACCTGCCAACACCGGCCAGCAGGAGGAGTGCGTGCGGTGTCTGGGGAGCCAGGCCCTCCCCGAGCAGCCGGGAGCCGCCCTAAGGCTGGAAGGGCACAGCCGGTCCAGAAACAAGGCCCGGTGGGCAGTGTGGAGCCCCGCCGGTGGGGCGATTTCTACAGGCTCTTTCTGAATAAGGGCTGGGCCTGCTTTTCTAAGGAACTCGCTTTTTTCACACTGACTTAAGCCACGCTCTGGCCTAGGAGTCTGTGAGCACACGGGCGTCTTCCACGCTGCCCACTGTGTAGAGGAGACGACACGGGAGGTGGCCCAAGTAGGGCACAGACCGCAACATGCCTGACCGACGCTGTAAACAGGCTCCTGAGAGTAGCCGACGGGTGGGCCCGGCCGTGCACGGTTCTGTCGGAACATGTGACGGGATCCGTGGGACCAAGCACGCGGCAGGAAGATGGCTGTAAACAGACGCGACCCCGGCCGAGTGGAAGTGAGAAGTGCGGTGTGGCCCTGGACAGCTGCCAGCAGGTTTCCAGAGGCCACGGGGTTACATTCCGGGTCTGAACGACAGACGCCTCTGCAGCTCACCCCTTGGCACGCTGTGGTGGTGGGCTGGGGGCCACTCAGGTGTCCTCCTCCTCGTCGCTGACCAGCTCGCCTTTGTCGGGACTGGTGTCCCGTTCACGCAGGAAGTCTTCCCGGAATGCCTCTAGCTCCGTCAGCTCCAGCCGCACCTTCTCCAGGTGGTAGGCGCGCCGGTTGCGGATCTGGCGCAGGGGGAAGGGGTTCAGGTCCCCGAAGGAGATACTGATCAGCTTCCTGGTGGGACACGGGGCAGAGCGTCAGCGGGGCTTGGGTCATGTGCACACAGGAGGCCTGGGGGTCCAGGGCGCGGACCCAGACACCATGGGGCCTGACATTAGTGTGTCACCTGGAGGCCAGTCCTCCTTGTGCAGACGCTGCAGGGCTGTAAGAACCCCACTCTGCGCCGGCCCCACCTCAATCCCCGTCACTCAGACACCAGCCCGGCCAAAGATGTCCTGGTTCCCCACACACTGTCCCACATCTCTGGCCAGCTCCTGAGCTGCCCCTTCCCAGCCTGGGTCACCCTGCGAGGGCCTGGCCCCAGCCTGGGTGTCTCTGAGCTCCCCCATCCCCACAAGTTCTGCAAGGACGAGACGGTCCTCATGTGTCACCCTTGATGCTGGGCAGGGGCCCCACCCCATCGTCAACACTCCGTTCAAGCCTGTCACACCAATCCACCTGCTGCCGTGCTGGCTGGGACTTGGGTTTGTTGGACAGAGAATGGATAAAACCATCTTTCCCGCCCGACCAGCGTTACTCAGTGATCGAGCGTCGACCCATGAACCAAGAGGCCACGGTTCGATTCCCGCTCAGGGCACGTGCCTGGGTTTCAGGTTCAATCCCCAGTAGGGGGCGTGCAGCCGATGGATGAATCTCTNGAGCCCCGCCGGTGGGGCGATTTCTACAGGCTCTTTCTGAATAAGGGCTGGGCCTGCTTTTCTAAGGAACTCGCTTTTTTCACACTGACTTAAGCCACGCTCTGGCCTAGGAGTCTGTGAGCACACGGGCGTCTTCCACGCTGCCCACTGTGTAGAGGAGACGACACGGGAGGTGGCCCAAGTAGGGCACAGACCGCAACATGCCTGACCGACGCTGTAAACAGGCTCCTGAGAGTAGCCGACGGGTGGGCCCGGCCGTGCACGGTTCTGTCGGAACATGTGACGGGATCCGTGGGACCAAGCACGCGGCAGGAAGATGGCTGTAAACAGACGCGACCCCGGCCGAGTGGAAGTGAGAAGTGCGGTGTGGCCCTGGACAGCTGCCAGCAGGTTTCCAGAGGCCACGGGGTTACATTCCGGGTCTGAACGACAGACGCCTCTGCAGCTCACCCCTTGGCACGCTGTGGTGGTGGGCTGGGGGCCACTCAGGTGTCCTCCTCCTCGTCGCTGACCAGCTCGCCTTTGTCGGGACTGGTGTCCCGTTCACGCAGGAAGTCCTCCCGGAATGCCTCTAGCTCCGTCAGCTCCAGCCGCACCTTCTCCAGGTGGTAGGCGCGCCGGTTGCGGATCTGGCGCAGGGGGAAGGGGTTCAGGTCCCCGAAGGAGATACTGATCAGCTTCCTGGTGGGACACGGGGCAGAGCGTCAGCGGGGCTTGGGTCATGTGCATACAGGAGGCCTGGGGGTCCAGGGCGCGGACCCAGACACCATGGGGCCTGACATTAGTGTGTCACCTGGAGGCCAGTCCTCCTTGTGCAGACGCTGCAGGGCTGTAAGAACCCCACTCTGCGCCGGCCCCACCTCAATCCCCGTCACTCAGACACCAGCCCGGCCAAAGATGTCCTGGTTCCCCACACACTGTCCCACATCTCTGGCCAGCTCCTGAGCTGCCCCTTCCCAGCCTGGGTCACCCTGCGAGGGCCTGGCCCCAGCCTGGGTGTCTCTGAGCTCCCCCATCCCCACAAGTTCTGCAAGGACGAGACGGTCCTCATGTGTCACCCTTGATGCTGGGCAGGGGCCCCACCCCATCGTCAACACTCCGTTCAAGCCTGTCACACCAATCCACCTGCTGCCGTGCTGGCTGGGACTTGGGTTTGTTGGACAGAGAATGGATAAAACCATCTTTCCCGCCCGACCAGCGTTACTCAGTGATCGAGCGTCGACCCATGAACCAAGAGGCCACGGTTCGATTCCCGCTCAGGGCACGTGCCTGGGTTTCAGGTTCAATCCCCAGTAGGGGGCGTGCAGCCGATGGATGAATCTCTCATCACTGATGTTTCTATCTCCCTCCCCCTCTCCCTTCCTCTCTCTGAAGTAAACAACAACCAACATCTTTCCCTGCACCCCTGGGGGGGCCTGAGCCTGACACCACAAGCACAGGCGGCTCTCAGGGGAGCAGAGGTCGGGAGGCCCACTGTCCCGGACGTGCCCCCCGGACTCACCGAGCGTCGACGATGGTGCGAGTGAAGCGCCGGAGGTACTTGAATATGGACATTGAATCCTGCAGTTTTAGCATCTCCTCCTCTTTGAATTTGAAAAGCGCCAGAGCAAAACGGAAGATGACCTGTGGGCAGGACAGGGAGTCTGTACACAGAGAAGCACCCAGCTTCTGGGGGCCAGGCCTCCCGGGCCCTGGGGCAGCCTCGGGACTAAGGTGTGCTCCACCGGCAGGGCCAGGGCCCTTTCTAAAAAACTCCTCAGCCGAGGACATCTTCATTGGCTTTTAGAGAGAGGGGAAGGGAAGGAGAGAGGGAAACACCAATTGGTTGCCTCCCGCGCACACCATGACCAGGGCAGGGGATCGAACCCGCAACCTTTCGGTGTATGGGAGGGACGTTGCTCCTCACTGAGCCGCACCGGCCAGGGCCAGGTCCCCGTTTACAGAAAGATGGGTGCTAGTGACTGACGACAACACCCCAGCCAGAACCTGATGTCCTTGTGGAGCCGAACCTGTGTGGACTCCTCCCCATTCAGCTAATACTTCCCGGAAAGAAGGTATACAGAACCGGGAATCACTGTTACTTTTTATTTTGTTATTATTGTTTTGATTATGAACTTTATTATTATTTTTTTGCTAATCCGCACCTGAGGATATATATATTTTTAATGTTTTTATTGATTTTTAGAGCGAGAGGAAGGGAGAGGGACTCATGATCGGCTGCCTCCTGCACGCCCGCTACTGGGGATGCAGCTGGAAACCTGGGAATTGAACCCTGACCTCTTGCTTCCTAGGTTGAAGCTCAACCACTGAGCCATACCGGCCCGGCTGGAAGTCAGTTTTAAATACAATGAAAACCAGGGTTGACTCTGAGACTCCCTGAAAACTCCACACCTCCATGCGGTTTTTACTGCCACTTGTGACACTAGGGTCTGAATCACTGACTCCTGAATATAGAGAAACTGTGTCTGAGGCCAGAGGGACTGGACTCCTGGTGGTCTTGCAAGTCCAACCAGCTCTGGAAGAAACCGCCCACACCCGAGGCCCTGGCTGGCCTGTCCGACCAGCACTTTCTCTTATCTAGACAGCAGTATTTATAGCACTTGAATAGTTATCTCTCTTTTGACATTCCTACCTATGGCCCAACAGCAAACACTGAAAATCCTGGTTGAGAATTCTTTTGTTTTTTTGTTACCCTCACCTGAGGATATTTTTTCCCCACTGCTTTTCAGAGAGAGTGGAAGGGAGGAAGGGAGGGGGAAAGAGAGAGAAACATTGATGTGAGAGAGACACATCCAACGGCTGCATCCTGCACTGGCCCCGGCCAGGGGTTGGAGAATGAACCCACGACCCGGGTATGTGCCCTTGACCAGAATCGGATCCACAGTCCTTCAGTGCATGGGCCAACGCTCTAACAACTTAGCCACACTGTCCAGGGCGAGAACTCTTTTTAGTAATGACAGAAGTCCTGTGTTTGAGGCCAGAGGGATCAGACTAAAGTCCCACGTTGGACAGAGTGTGGGGGATCTACACACTCACACTCTGCTGGGGGGAGGGGGCTGTAAATTGGTTAGGCCCTACGAAGGGTGATTTGGCACCAGCCATGAACACCGCAGATGGGTGTACCCTTGACCCAGCACGTCCCCTTCTAGGACGCAGTGGCACACGTGTGGAAAGACANGAACACCGCAGATGGGTGTACCCTTGACCCAGCACGTCCCCTTCTAGGACTAAGCCCACAGACGCAGTGGCACACATGCATCAGGGGCTGTTAGGTACATTTCTGGTTCATCTGTACAAAGAGATATTATGCAGTTAAAAAAAAAAAGCCAGATCTATATGCCCTGATATGGAACTATCTCCAAGATGCATTAAGTGTAAAAATAAAACCCTTGTATTTCAGATATACATAAAGTNTGGAACTATCTCCAAGATGCATTAAGTGTAAAAATAAAACCCTTATATTTCAGATATACATAAAGTACCTTGAGAAGGATACATAATAAATCAAGAAGAGAGACTAGGAGACTGGGGCCACAGGGACCTCCTCCCTGCCACATACCCTTAATTATATGACCTCTTTNTACCTTGAGAAGGATACATAATAAATCAAGAAGAGAGACTAGGAGACTGGAGCCACAGGGACCTCCTCCCTGCCACATACCTTAATTATATGACCTCTTCTCCACCACATTCCTTTAGTTATGAGATCTCCTTTCTACTACATACTCTCAGTTATGTAATTTGAGTTTATCACGTACCAACTTAAAAACTGATTTTTTATAAACATACAACAGACTGGGTGGGAGGCTTGTGGGCATAAGGCTCTGAAGTTGACTCTGAATTTGTCCCTGATCTTCTGCATACTGACCTCTGGGCCTCGACCTTCTCATCCACACAATAGGGACAACACCACCGCTTGTGTGACATGGTGAGGCTCAGCCTGAAAACCATCAAAGCCCCGTGCACGGGACTAGGGTGCTAAATGTTTCTGACGAACGAGCAAATGATGTGCCTGTGACCCCAGTGCCCCTCCAGTGGCACACAGTGCAGGGCTGGCTCTGGGCCAGGGCACCCCTCTCATGTCCCCGGTGAGCCGGCCACTCTGCCACCACGGATGCTGCCCACAGTCGCCCAGCGAGCGGACCCACCTTTGGCCCCTCGTACAGGAAGGAGTCCCATATTTTGAAGAGGATGTCACTGACGACGCTGTCCACGAACACCACCAGAAACCAGTTGAACGTGATGAGGGTGTAGTCCACCTTGTATTGTTCAAAGTGGGTGTGCAGCCGCGGCAGCTTCTCGCTCATGAGGTCTCTGAACACCCGCTGGTCCACCTGGGGAGGGGCAGGGGGCAGAGGCATGGAGTCGGCCACAGCACTGGGCAGGCGACCTGAGTGAGCTGGGGCAGGCCCACCACATGGACACGGCAGGTGCCGTCAGGTCCCACAGTGTCGCCCTTTCCACAGGCCATGGGGGTGTCTATGGCCTGAAGCCCACGCCTGTACTCAATGTGCCCTGTGGAAGCAGACGCTGTGAGGAGCCAGCGGAACAGTCGGCCTTGCCAACCTGTGTGTGAATACTGGCGGTGCTGCTTCGAAGGGCCACAGCCCCACTCTGCCTGAGAGCAAGTGGGACATCAGCATGTCCACTGGACAGATGTTACTGGGCTGTGTGGGGCTGTGCGGGGGCAGTGAGGACTCCAGAACCAGGTGGAACCGAGTCTGAATCTCAGCTGTTCCACTCGCTAGCTGGGTGGCCAGTCTCCCTCCAAGCCTTGCGGTTCCACGGGGCAGGGGTGGGATCAGTCACTGGACGCTGCCTCTTTCCTGCTGGTGTTAATCTGTCTCTCAGCATTCAATGACAACTACATATCTGCACAGGCTTCGTGCCTGGCACTGGCCAGCACACGGGATGACAGCTGAGAGGGCCCAGGGGCTGTCTTTAAGGAGCTGTACGCTGGCAAAGCACAGGGACAGCTGACCGCAGGACCAAGGGATGGCCATGTGATTCGTTCTGCCTGCAGGGTCCGGGCTGAGGATGCCTGAGAGGAAGGGACGTGCAAGCTGGCCCCGAAGTGGGAGAGGACCATGCACTCCTCCCAGCCAGGTGGCAGGTGAGCCTCACTGCTGAGGCTGCCCAGTGCTCAGCACAGGGCTGGGCCTGCAGCAGATGGCCAGGGACCACTTGCTCAGGCCTCTGCTCATCCCTCTCCTGACCTGGGCTTGGGAGGACCTCAGCTCCTGGCAGGGTCCCTGGCCACAGCGTGCACTCAGCAAGCGGAACGGATGGGACACGTCTGAACCACAGCAGCAGGGGCGGGCTGGGCACCTGGTCCCGGCAGGAGGCTTCTGACAGGGACTTGTAAGCACAGCGCTGGGGGCTGAGCACACAGGAGGCTGCCCCCAGGTAGGCGTGGCCTGGTGCACTGTCCATCACAGGACGACAGTCAAACACGTCAGACAGCCAGCTGACGGAGATCAGAGCCACCGAGCAGGATGGGGACAGAGTGCAGGTGACACGGGGAATGCTGGGGCCAGGCTGGGAACCAGCCACGGTGCACTGAGCTCTCAGTATGGACACCGAAGTGTATCAGGGTTAAGAAAGAAAAGAGGAAAAGGGGAAATATATAAAAATGCTAACTACGGCCTGGGCAGTGTGGCTCAGCAGTTGAGCATCAACCTGTGACACAGGAGATTGCGGTCAGTTCCCGGTCAGGGCACAGGCCTGGATTTTGGGCTCGATCCCCAGCAGGGGGCGAGCAGGAGGCAGCCGATCAATAACTCTCATCATTGATGTTTCTTCCCCCCCTTCCTTGCTTTGAAATCAATAAAGACATATTTTTTTAAAAAATGCTAACTACAGTGCTCTAGCTGGTAGGCTAACAGGTGACTTTCACTTTCTTCTTAGTATCTTTCTACATTAAGTAACTTCTCTTTGCGGAGACCTATTACTTTTGTAGTCAGGGGAACCTGCCTCCTTGGAGTTTCCACGTGTGTTTATGAGATGCCGTGATACAGATTTTATTTTAAATTCACACTTGAAACATGCCTCCCCTTTGCCTGAGAGAACAATAGTTCTGACAATGTTGTCAGCATTACATGAAACTCTTAATGCATCATCAGAGTTCAACCTCAAATACTCTTATGAGGAGAGTACGGCACTCATCTTACAGATGGGGAAACTGAGGCACAGGGATGGTAAGTGAGGCGGCCGAGCTCCACAGCTCACAGGAGGGAGGGCTTGGCTTCTGGCTGACCATGTGACCCTCACCCCAGCTCCTCACCCATGGCAGAGGTGCAACTAGAAAGTAAAACTCAGGCCGCTCCAGACATTGACAACGGAGGGACTTTACCCAGGGAGATGGTCACCCTGGGGACCACAGCTGAGAAGCCAAGCAGCTGATGGGGAGGTGGCCCAGAGGCAAGGATAGGAAGGACCCCCCAGGCTGGAGCACAAAGGTCTCTGCTCGGGGGGACACAACACTCAGGAGATGCATCCATCAACACGAAGTGCCCCAGACGCAGAGAGGGGAGAAAGGCCTTCGATGCCCCTCCTGTCCCCCTTGTCTCCTGTCCAGTGCACCAACAGGTGACTTTTGCGAGCACTCCTTGACGGTCTGGCCAAAACTTCCTTAGAACCGCACAGCGGTCTGAGATCCTTCCACCCACACCTCCCTCGTTCCTTCCCCAGACCTGGTGTCCTCCCGACCTCCGCAGCCCCTCTCTTTGACCCTCCACAGGTGTTTCCCCTCGGGGGACCTCAGGCACATCTACCCGTGTCATGTCCTGGCCTCTTGGAGAAGCTGAGAGGGCACACGGGGCTCCCGAGCAGCCTGGACCGTGGCTCAGCCTGCCAGGCAGGCCTTGCCCAGAGTGCAGGGTGCTCAGCTGTGACCATGAAGAGCTGGGCTGCTCAGTCCTCACTGGGCTCTCACTGGACCAGGTGCTGAGTGAGCCCGGCCCACGCCCACTTGCTCAGGGACAGTGGCCCGGTCTCCAGGTGGCCCTGCTTTGTGCGCCTCCCTCAGGGCACAGTCAGGGCTGAAACAGGCCCAGGAAGCCTTCCCCGCCCCAACCCAAAGCTGAGTTCAGGTCACCTTTCAGCTCTAATCTCCCAGCTGCTGACAGAAGCACGGTATTTTTAGAAGTANCAGTCACTGGACGCTGCCTCTTTCCTGCTGGTGTTAATCTGTCTCTCAGCATTCAATGACAACTACATATCTGCACAGGCTTCGTGCCTGGCACTGGCCAGCACACGGGATGACAGCTGAGAGGGCCCAGGGGCTGTCTTTAAGGAGCTGTACGCTGGCAAAGCACAGGGACAGCTGACCGCAGGACCAAGGGATGGCCATGTGATTCGTTCTGCCTGCAGGGTCCGGGCTGAGGATGCCTGAGAGGAAGGGACGTGCAAGCTGGCCCCGAAGTGGGAGAGGACCATGCACTCCTCCCAGCCAGGTGGCAGGTGAGCCTCACTGCTGAGGCTGCCCAGTGCTCAGCACAGGGCTGGGCCTGCAGCAGATGGCCAGGGACCACTTGCTCAGGCCTCTGCTCATCCCTCTCCTGACCTGGGCTTGGGAGGACCTCAGCTCCTGGCAGGGTCCCTGGCCACAGCGTGCACTCAGCAAGCGGAACGGATGGGACACGTCTGAACCACAGCAGCAGGGGCGGGCTGGGCACCTGGTCCCGGCAGGAGGCTTCTGACAGGGACTTGTAAGCACAGCGCTGGGGGCTGAGCACACAGGAGGCTGCCCCCAGGTAGGCGTGGCCTGGTGCACTGTCCATCACAGGACGACAGTCAAACACGTCAGACAGCCAGCTGACGGAGATCAGAGCCACCGAGCAGGATGGGGACAGAGTGCAGGTGACACGGGGAATGCTGGGGCCAGGCTGGGAACCAGCCACGGTGCACTGAGCTCTCAGTATGGACACCGAAGTGTATCAGGGTTAAGAAAGAAAAGAGGAAAAGGGGAAATATATAAAAATGCTAACTACGGCCTGGGCAGTGTGGCTCAGCAGTTGAGCATCAACCTGTGACACAGGAGATTGCGGTCAGTTCCCGGTCAGGGCACAGGCCTGGATTTTGGGCTCGATCCCCAGCAGGGGGCGAGCAGGAGGCAGCCGATCAATAACTCTCATCATTGATGTTTCTTCCCCCCCTTCCTTGCTTTGAAATCAATAAAGACATATTTTTTTAAAAAATGCTAACTACAGTGCTCTAGCTGGTAGGCTAACAGGTGACTTTCACTTTCTTCTTAGTATCTTTCTACATTAAGTAACTTCTCTTTGCGGAGACCTATTACTTTTGTAGTCAGGGGAACCTGCCTCCTTGGAGTTTCCACGTGTGTTTATGAGATGCCGTGATACAGATTTTATTTTAAATTCACACTTGAAACATGCCTCCCCTTTGCCTGAGAGAACAATAGTTCTGACAATGTTGTCAGCATTACATGAAACTCTTAATGCATCATCAGAGTTCAACCTCAAATACTCTTATGAGGAGAGTACGGCACTCATCTTACAGATGGGGAAACTGAGGCACAGGGATGGTAAGTGAGGCGGCCGAGCTCCACAGCTCACAGGAGGGAGGGCTTGGCTTCTGGCTGACCATGTGACCCTCACCCCAGCTCCTCACCCATGGCAGAGGTGCAACTAGAAAGTAAAACTCAGGCCGCTCCAGACATTGACAACGGAGGGACTTTACCCAGGGAGATGGTCACCCTGGGGACCACAGCTGAGAAGCCAAGCAGCTGATGGGGAGGTGGCCCAGAGGCAAGGATAGGAAGGACCCCCCAGGCTGGAGCACAAAGGTCTCTGCTCGGGGGGACACAACACTCAGGAGATGCATCCATCAACACGAAGTGCCCCAGACGCAGAGAGGGGAGAAAGGCCTTCGATGCCCCTCCTGTCCCCCTTGTCTCCTGTCCAGTGCACCAACAGGTGACTTTTGCGAGCACTCCTTGACGGTCTGGCCAAAACTTCCTTAGAACCGCACAGCGGTCTGAGATCCTTCCACCCACACCTCCCTCGTTCCTTCCCCAGACCTGGTGTCCTCCCGACCTCCGCAGCCCCTCTCTTTGACCCTCCACAGGTGTTTCCCCTCGGGGGACCTCAGGCACATCTACTCGTGTCATGTCCTGGCCTCTTGGAGAAGCTGAGAGGGCACACGGGGCTCCCGAGCAGCCTGGACCGTGGCTCAGCCTGCCAGGCAGGCCTTGCCCAGAGTGCAGGGTGCTCAGCTGTGACCATGAAGAGCTGGGCTGCTCAGTCCTCACTGGGCTCTCACTGGACCAGGTGCTGAGTGAGCCCGGCCCACGCCCACTTGCTCAGGGACAGTGGCCCGGTCTCCAAGTGGCCCTGCTTTGTGCGCCTCCCTCAGGGCACAGTCAGGGCTGAAACAGGCCCAGGAAGCCTTCCCCTCCCCAACCCAAAGCTGAGTTCAGGTCACCTTTCAGCTCTAATCTACCAGCTGCTGACAGAAGCACGATATTTTTAGCNCAGTCAGGGCTGAAACAGGCCCAGGAAGCCTTCCCCGCCCCAACCCAAAGCTGAGTTCAGGTCACCTTTCAGCTCTAATCTCCCAGCTGCTGACAGAAGCACGGTATTTTTAGAAGTACCTGGGATCCTAAGAGAGTCTTTGTGTAATAGTCGCGAGGCATGAAGACCTCCACGATGGTGACCAGGCACCAGAAAGCGTCTTCTTGCTCCAGGTACAGAAGGGCCACTGCCACCAACCTGCAAGCACACAGAGAACAAGGTGAGAGCCGGCACAGGTGGCTGTCTGTCCCTCACGGCCGTGGCTCCGTCTAGCTCTCCAATCAGCAGCAGGAAGTGTGTGTTCCTTGGCCAGCAAGGCAGTTCCTAAAGTTTGAGAAGCAAAACTACACTTCTTCTCCCTTCATTCAAAAAAAAATATATTTCTTTTTTTGTTCTTTGTTGTTTTTTTTGTTACTCTTCACCTGAGGATATTTTTTCCATTGCTTTTCAGAGAGAGTGGAAGGGAGGGAGGGAGATGGAGAGAGAGAGAAACATGGATGTGAGAGAGACAATCTGACCGGCTGCCTCTGGCATGGGCCCCAACCAGGGCCGGAGATCAAACCTGCAACCCAGGTACGTACCCTTGACCGGGAATTGAACCCACCATACTTTGGTGCACAGGCTGACGCTCTAACCACTTAGCTCACTGGCCAGGCTATTTCTTTTTTTAAAAAATGTTTCTATTGATTTTTTTTTAGAGAGGAGAGAGAGAGAAAAACACTGATGTGAGAAAGAAACACTGACTGGTTGCCTCCGGATGAGCCTGACTGGGTGGGGAGAGATTAACCAAAGAGCTNTCATTATAATGAGAATATAATGAACAAAATAAACTGATGAACAATATTGATCCAGAGACATAGAAGCATGGAACAGACTAAGGGATCTCAGATGGAAGGTGGTGAGGAGGGAGTGGGCGAGGAGAGATTAGTCAAGAAACTTATATGTTTATAGGCATTGTCCATGGACATAGACAGTGGTCTGGGGAGGGTTTGAGGGTGGGGTGGATGTGAGGTGGAGGGGAGCAATGGGGGTAAAAAGGGGACATCTGCAATATTCTCAAAAATAAAGAAACTTAAAAATAATAAAAATAAAAACAGCTTTCCTGATGCCATCCTGCTATCCAGGGGGCTTCGGACAAATGGACCCTCTGAGGGTCAGCACGGGGGTGGGGAACGGCCGTACTGTTATAGAGCCACAGCGGGAACCCGGGTCTGGTCGCTTACACTGTCAGGAGTCAAGAGGTGACTTATCCAGTCATCCCCGGTGTGGCTCCGGGTCGGCGGCATCCAGGGCGGCAGGAGGAGAGTGAAGCCGAGGAAACCCCTCTCCACAGCTGATAACCAGACGCGAGGCTTCGCACATCCCTCCTGGGAAAGCCCTGGAAGCCACTTCTCAGAGTATCATACACACATGTGTGTTTGAACAGTATCATTTTAAAAGGTGAAAATACTTCCTGAAAGCATGTTTGTTTCCCTCAATTACTCTAGACCTGGGGAGACGGCATCATTAAATCTGGTTGACTGCAGGCTGCTTCTTTCCATTAAAATACTGGCTTTTCCTGGCTGAGCAGGAGGGGAGGGAGGGAGCCGCCGGGAAGAGCCTGCTCCTACAGGTTGTCTCGGGGCACAGGGGCAGCCGCGGGCCAGCACCCACCTGTTCAGGCCCTGGCAGTAGCCGATGTCCGGGTTCCGCCAGGAGAAGGCCAGCAGCACGTTGCGTAACTTCTGTATGCCCTCCGAGGTGGGGCAGGAGTAATGCTTGTTGTTGGGCAGCGTCCGCAGCAGGTCCAGCTCGATCTGCTTGGAGGCCGGGTTCTGCTTCTCCAGCGCCCTGTGCAGCAGGCTCTGGAAGTACCCGGGCTCGATGCCGTCCTTGAACTTGCGGGTGTGGAGGTCCACGCACCACTTCCACACCTTGGAGCGGTGCTCGTGCGGGATGCCCGCCCGGATCAGGCTCTTCAGTTCCGGGGAGCAGGCCATCTCCCGGTTCATCGTGCTGGCGAAGTAGTTCTCCCACTTGACCCCGGTGGACACCTCCTGGTTCTCCGCGAGGTAGAGGCTCTTCAGGTCCAGCGCCCGGACTTTGGCCACCAGCTTCTCTTCTTCATCATCCTCTGGGACAGTCCTAAAGCCGTAAATATCGTACTCGCTGTGAAGAAAACCAAAAGGGAAAGTGGAATGATGTGACCTCGGCAAAACAGATCAAAAAGAGAACCTAGAAGTTAGCTCAGGGGTAACGGGCACTGATACAGAGCCAGGCGTTTCAACTCAGTGAGGAGCCAACCTCTCCGTAAACAGGGTGCGGACAGCTGGCGATCTGCGTGGAAGACAAAATTAAATAAGGTCTCTTCTTGATACCACACAGAAAATAAAGTAATTCTAGATGGTTTAAAGCCCTAAATGTGAAAAGCACAGAAGATACAAGCAACACCACGAAGACAAGGCTGATACATTTGGCCACAAGAATGTACGCGCGTGTTCATACATCATACATATGTGTGCGTAGCCTTTTTATGTTTGAAAAGTATCATTTTAAAAGGTGAAAAGACCAGGGAGAAAAACGTTTATAAGGTATCGGGGTGAAGCTCTGGCTGGTGTGGCCCCGTGGTTAGAATGTCGGTCCGCGCGCCGTAGGGTTGCGGGTCTGATTCCCTGTCGAGGGCACGTACCTGGGTTGTGGGTTCACTCCCTGCCCCCAGTCGGGGCGCGTGTGGGAGGCACCCAATGGATGTGTCTCTCACATTGATGTTTCTCCCCCCCCTTCTCCCTCTCTCTGTAAAGCAATGGAAAAATGTCCTCAGGTGAAGATTAACAAAAACCAAAACCAAGATATTAGAGAGGAAGAGGAACTGAGGCCGTGGCGGGTGGCCAGCAGCATCGCAGCCCGCAGACGTCCATGCCCCACCTGTGCAGCCTGTGAACACGCGACGTTACGTGGCAAAGGGAACGTGGCAGATGGAATTAGTTAGAGAGCCTAAGGCAGGGAGGTTATCCTGGGTTATCTGGGGGGCCCAGAGTCACCAAGGAGCCCTCAGAAGTAGAAGAGGAAGGCAGGAGTCGGCCAGAGAGACCCGGCGATGGAAGAGGCAGCAGAGATGTGAAGAGGGGTTGTTGTCGCCCCCCCCAGCCACTGGTCCCATACCTGACAAGGTGAGGTTTCACGAACGCTTGCTCTGGCTGCTCCGGGCCCTCGACCTGCAGTGCGTCCTCCAGCAGCTGGGCTATGACGTCCCGGGCAGGCCCCTGCTCTTCGGAGCAGACTGGCGTCTTCATCTCTTGGAGCAAGATCAAGTACTTACTTTCTATCTGGCAGAGCTTGGCTTCCAGGCTCGAATACTGCGGAGAGAGCGGCAGTTACCTCACCCACCCAGAGACGCAGGGAAACCAAGCCTTAGGCAGCGCGGCCACCAATGAATGACAAGCCCCAAACTACGCGGACGTGAGAGCCAGAGACACTAAATCAGACGAGACTAAGTTACTCCACAGGCCATCTGTCATGTTTGAAATGGCCTGCCCTGGGGCCCCCTTCCTTCTGCGAGGTGTGGCACAGAGGAGGTGCTGATAATAAGACGTCTGGCTTGGCCAATGGGGCTCAGTCGTTGAGCGTTGACCCATGAACCTGGAGGTCATGGTTCGATTCCCGGTCAGGGCACATGCCCAGGTTGCGGGCTCGATAACCAGTAGGGGGCGTGCAGGAGGCAGCCCGTCGATGACTCTCTCTCATCACTGATGTTTCTCTCTCTCCCTCTCGCTTTCTCTCTCTGAAAGCAATAAAAACATATTTAAAAAAAAAAAGTCTGGATGCCAACACAAGCATCGGTTCTGGACATGGGTGAGATGAGTCGCAGAAACCGTGCCGCACGCCCATCATGGAGTCACACTGAGTGATACCTGGCACACGGGCCATGAGCAGCCTCCCTGTGGGACACCGACACTTTAGGACAATGACCCAGGACTAGCTCCCAACTGCCACCTTATCAGGCAAATCAAATACACCCCTGGAAATCATGGGACCAAGGTCTGGGAAGCTGCTTTGAGACCAGTTCTGGAGCCAGGCAGGTGCTGACACACCGTCGCCGACCTGCGCTGGGCTGTAACTGAACGTCTGTGATGTCTCCACACTTTGCAAAGCCCTAAGCAGCCACCATCATTTCTGACCCTCACACCAACCCTGCGGGGCTCACCATGGAGGCATTGTCCTCACCACTCCCATTTATAGAGAAAATACAGATTCGCCTAGCGCAATAGCATGAGTCGGAAACGCAAATAACCTTAATTTGGAGACTTGGGGCTGCAGTTAATATTTTTTTGGAAACTCCACTACACGTCTGGATGGAAGCCACACTGCAGGCCCTGCTACCTGTCTTCATTCCCCCACACAGGGAGACAGCATGCAGTGCTACGCACTGTTTCTATTTTAAGTATATTTTGGTGTCAGCGACCACATCCTTCAGCCTGTGCGCTGAACTGTTTCTCAAGCACATCCATTTCTTGGTGGCTCTGAGCCACACCTCCTGCCAGGTAATGGGGTACACCCGCCCTGACCCACCTTGGCCATCAGATCCCTCTCTCTCCTTTCTGCATTTCTCCGAAGCACCGAGAGTTCCAAAATTTCCTTATTTAGAAATTTATTTTGGGTTTTGTACCCCTGCAGATTATCCTGTTGAAAAAAACACACCACAAAAACCATCAGTTCACACTGGCTGAACACAATTAACATTTTGCTGCCTCACCAAGCAGCCCTGCTAAGTCGGAGCGAGTTATGAGGAACTGAAAACTGATTATCGGGCACCTTCTGATTAATCTCTGGGGCCACTTGCGGCAGCAGAAGGCAGGCGGGGACCACCGCTGTGACGAAGGAGACGGGGAGTGAAGCTACGTAATGGTGGTGACTTTCCTGAACCGGCCTCAGAGGGGGGCAAGACGCAGCCTCCGGAAGTTATGTGGGATGGTGATGCTCTAAAGGTGTATAATGTCTCAGCTGCTGGAAGTCAGAGTGGGGAGAGAGCTGAAAGTGCTGGAGCAACGGCAGCACTGCTGGGCTGACTTCCATTTCCAAGGAAGCTCCGTAGGAGACTAGGAATTATTTGACTGCAGCTCACTGAGGCTGGTAGCCCTAGAGGGACGTCAGCGCACGGAGACTGTGAAGGGGCTTTGGGGTTTCTTGTCCCAGTAGTCAGAGCCCACGCCTGCTCTCACCTTCAACCTGTCCAGCTCCAGCTGGTCCCTGCTGGCCGTGCCGGCGGTGGGCGAGCTGGGGGCCCAGGTGGGAGAGGCCACGGTGCCCTCGCACTCGCTGAGCTGCCGAGACAGCTTGATGATGACCTCGTCCTTGGCCTGGATGGTCTCCATCAGCATCCCCAGCTGCTCGTTGAGCTCGCCCACTTTGCTCTTCAGTGTCCTCACCTCCTGCTGAAGGCTCTCTTTCTCCAGGCTGAACCTGTCCAGCTGGCCGGCGAGGCCCAGGATCTGGTCGTCCTTCTGGTGCAGGAGCTCGAGCGTGTCATGGGGGACCCCGTCACAGAGCCGGCTGCTCGTGAAATACTTGTCATACTGGGACGACCGCACCGTCTGCTGCAGCAGCCGCACGAGCTCCTGGCGCCACAGGGGGTGGAGGGGAGGGAGAGGGGAAGCAGGCTTGTGACGAGTCTACACAGTGACCACTGGGATTTGAGGAAATGCAGAAACTACTGGAAAGATTTTAATACCCAACTTCCTCTAGAAGGATCTCAAAAATAAAGAGGAAAAAAAAAACTTCTTACTCCATAAAGACCGTGTGTAGAGATCATAGGAAACAGGAAATAATGGGCACACACACTGTAATTAGCAATGGTTCCGGGTAAACGCTCGTCCGCATTAAAGTGTGATCTCTAGCCCTGGCCGGTGTGGCTCAGCTGGCTGGGCACCATCCCCTGCAGCGAAAGGTGCTGGTGTGATTCCGGGTCAGGGCACATGCCCGGGTTGCGGGTTCGATCCCCAGTAGGGGGTGTGCAGGAGGCAGCCAATCGATGTTTCTCATCAGTGTTTTTATCTCTCTCTCCGTCTCCCTTCCTCCCTTTCTAAAAAATCAGTAGAAAATATTAAAAACAAAACAACAAAACAAAACCAAACCCCCTGTGAGCTCTAACCCTGATCCACTGGCCTGCTGAGCAATTAAGGGGAGCTGGGTCTGCTTAGCTCGGAAGGAAAGTGTCGTTTAACAGGATGTGGAAAGTCTTTTAACAACCGGTCATGGGCTCTGGGCTGAAGTTCAGAGAGCCAGTGTCAGGGTGGGAGTGAGCGAGACGCAGACAAATCCCTCCTCTGACCACTCGAGGGGTCTTCACTCTCTTTGGAAATTCAATTGTGTCTGAACAACAATCAGGCACCGTGGCAGCGCCTAGGACAGCGGCCGTGGCAACACAGAATTTTCAGGGTGTGGAACGAGAGAGACGTGAGGAAGAAAAGTTACCTTCTGGCTGGACAGGTCCTTCTTCAAGCGTGCCAGCTCCTCCTGTTGGCTCTGCATCTGCAGCTGCACGTCGGAGGCCAGCTTGCCGGTGCCCCCACTGCCTGACGTCCCCTCGGTGGTGGCAGGGTCACTGCTACTGTGACGGCTTCTGTATGATCCAATCATGTCTTTCAAAGGGCGCTTTCCTTTGTAGGGAACACGTCCCAAATCAAAGGAAAATCCTGAGCTGGTTACTCCTACAGAGAAAAAAAATTTGTTTTTTAAGAGCAGCCAAATCTTCCTTTTGCAAATGCCAGTAAAACACGCCAGGCTCTTGGCGGTCCCCCTCCAAGGACTCTGCACTCACCCCCTGGCGGGGCCTCTGCCCCTTCCATTCCCGATCGCAGTCACACCCCTAGTCAGACATGCCCCCCCCACTGGATGCTTCCTTACAAGACTCTGCCATGTGACCACTTTAAAGATTACACTCTCGTTTGATTGCTCAATCTTTGCCTTAAGACAGATGAAAAAAGGCACTAACGGGAAATTAATGACAAAACGGCACTGTGGCTCTCCCAACATTCTTCAGTGATGTCAAGTTTATTTTCCAAAATCTATTTTCAAAAGCTCAGTGCTAAACCTCTATGTTCACATCACCTCTTTCCCATTTCAGGTACTCTAAGGACCAGAGAGAACCAGAGACACAGGCCAGGGAAGGACGTGGGTTCTCCTGCACCCACGGCATCCTGGGAACACGGGTGTCTCTTCCCCAGGACCCCCTATGAAATTGGATGCCAGGTTCCAAGGGCAGGACTTAGACGTACTAGGGACCTTTGGCTTCTATCTTTGCTCTTTGTAAAAAAAGAAACCACCTCCCCCCCAAATGTATGTAAAAATTATAAACACACATTTTAAAGCCTGACTATACATTCTCTTCCTTGAAAACTGGTATTTAAGAATACAGAGGGATCCAAATAAATTTTAGTATAGATGAATCCAAATACATATTTGAAATATAAAGGGGAGACACATGAGAGTACACGCTCTACAGATTCCATTTATATGAGGTTGGAAAACAGGCAAAATGAACCTATGCTGGGGACTGCGGGCCCGTGGGCTCCTGATCTGAACAGGCCGCCGGTAGGCAGACATTGAAGGAACAATTGGGGGCTGAGGTAACAGTCAGGGTTCACTGTAACTGTTTTTAGGTATATTAATGAAGCTGTGGTTATACTTTTGTAGTCATTACCTCTCAGAGATAAATACTAATACAATGTTTAGAGGCAACGGATTGGTATCTAGACTTAACTTTAAAATCCTCAGCTGATGGTGGTGCAGGGAGAGGTAGGAGCTGAGAGGAAATGAGAGCGGCCACAAGTTCAAGGCTGTGGAGGCTGGATGGTGGGGATTCCAGAACCCAGGACAGGATTTTTTGTGTTTTTTTAAATCAGTATTTCTGTAAAGAGCACATGGATGTTCTATCTCCTGAAAAAGTTTAAGAACCACGGGACTGGACAGTTGCTCATTTCTTGTAACGTGATTTTTTTCAGGCCTTTATGTTTTATCTCCCTCAAAGAGAATGCAAACTCCCCAGCATACGAGCTCCCTGCTCCTGAAGGGCCTCCCGCACCGCTGGCTGTTGGCAGATGGCAGCGGGGATAATGACAGACGAGAGCCACGTCTGTACCTTTGTTTCCTTCGGGCAGCTGCTTCTTCCTCTCTTCCTGGGCTGTGGACTCCTCCAGGTCCTTAGGGCTCGGGTCTAGAAGCTCCCACTCTTCGTTAGTATAAAACACACTCTTCCGACTATCATGCCCTCTTCCCGGGCGGAAAGAGGACATTGAATTTCTATCGGGGAAAATTAAATGTGTTATTTAAACAAAAAACTGTAAAAGAAAAACATAAGTTCACATGTATGGGGCTGGAAAAGATGAAAAAGATCTGATATCAAATGCTGATGATACACGCGGCCTGCTGGTGAGAGCATGAACTGGTGCTGTTACCACCAAGAAGAATTCGGCAGCACACGGTTAAGACAAAGGTGTCTGCCCTAAGACCCCGCGTTTCCTAAGTGGATTCTCACACATGTGCACAAGGAGCCACAAGCAAGAGCATGCATTGCGGCACTATTCACATCGGCAAAAACGGTACAACTTAAACATCCATCAAGAGGAAAGCCAATAAACTGAAGCGCATGCGTACGAAGGCTATACATGATTTAAAATGAATTCATTCATTTGACAAATATTTATTGCGTGCCTACTGTGTGGCAGGCACTATTCTAGGTGTTTAGGCTAAGCCAGGGAACAAAACAAAGATTCCTGCCCTTGTGGAATGTACTTTCTAGCTAAAGCTACCTGCAACATGCACATAAGTATTTTTTAAATGCCGAAAGAAAAGTAACTAAAGAATGACATATACAACAGGATGTTGTTTTTAATCTTTAAGATATTACTATTGATATATATTTATAGATAGATACATATGTAGTAAAACTATTTTAAAAATCCACACATGAATGATAGCCATCAAATACAGATATGGTCCCCTGCCAGTGTGGCCCAGTTGGCTGAGCACCAGCCCAGGCACTTAGAGGTCTCTGGTTCGATTCCCAGTCAGGGCACATGCCTGGGCTGCGGGCTTGATCCCCAGTAGGCACGTGCAGGAGGCAGCCAATCAATGTTTGTCTTATCAGCGTTTCTATCTCTCTCTCTCCCCCTTCCTCTCTCTCTCTCAAATCAATAAAAACATATTTAAACTACATTCCAAAACAAAGTTCAGGAATATTTATAGAAGACAAAGAAATCCAGCATCTGGAAAGGTAAAAACTCACAACATTGGTCATCCAAGAAAAAAATTACCGGGCATGCAGAGAAGGATGAAAATACTACTCATTAGGAGGGGAAAAAAATCAGTAAATAGAAACAGACCCAGAAATGACAGGTGATAACATTCATATATGAAATCATAATGTATCTTGTCAGAAGTCGTCTGTGTTCAGTGTCATGTGCGACAGGCTTTCCTGAGACTCACCTGAGCTCAGCGCCCCACTGCTTCAAAGAGAAATTGATGGAGTTCGGGTGCCCCGGGGCTGGCTGACTTGCAGCCTGCTCTCCCACCAGCTCTCCAGGCGCAGTTTCCACAGCTAGGACATTTCTGGCTTTTTCTGCAGAAGCATTTGTTTGTGGGTAAACGAAATCTGAAAGAGAGGCAGACAAAGGTCAGTGACTCAGAGCCTCCCCAACATCCTCTTTGAAACACTAACCGAAATACTATATAAAAACCTGTACTACACGTGTGCTGACATAGTTTTAACGTAGACTGCATAAAAATATCTGCGGTGGCTTCGGCGTTCTGCAACCATTTTGATCTAAAGTATCCGACCCTCCTTTCTCAAAGGAAGGTTGTGATATCTTCAAACCGCCAGCTGTCAACAGCCTCGGCCAGGGAACCAGGAGGCTGGGCTCTCCTCTGCTGTCTTGTAGATCAGTGAGCCTGGCATTGGCTGTGGCCAGGCTCCACTCACCTGTACTGACAAGGAACAAACTTCCAAGTCAAACGGTTCGGCCCAAAAAGCAAAGCGCAGATCAGATCACTACACTTTGTCTAAGAAAATGGGGCGAATACAAATATATACATATTTGCTATTATCTGCAAAAAGCGACACTAATAAGTTTGCATGTCACAGAAGAGCAGTTCAGGACATTCACAGGCAAATGCATTAATGCAAAAGCATGATCAGACCTCACACTGCAACTCTAGTGTCAGCTTTTGAAAATCTGAAGGTTGGCCCGGCCGGTGTGGCTCAGCGGTTGAGCATCGACCTAGGATTCAGGCGATCGCAGTTCGATTCCCGGTCGGGGCACAGGCCCGGGTTGCGGGCTCCATCCCCAGTGACTCTCTCATCATTGATGTTTCTGTCTGTCTCTCTCCCTCCTTTCCTCTCTCTGAAATCAAAAAAGATATATTTTTTAAAAAAAATTTGAAGGTTGAAATTATGTACTACCCAAGACCTGCTTCAAAACGACATTTTATTATTGAACAAATAAATAATAATTGCTTTAAATGACATGTTACTTACTTCCAAAATCACAAAATTAAGTGGGCAGGGGTATCAATGAAACAAGGTGGGTTATGAAACAATAACTGTTGAAACTACCTAATGAGCATGGGGGTAACACTATGTCATTCTCTCTTTGCCTATGTTTAAAATTTCCCACAAAAAAAAACCTTACTTTTTTACTGTTTAGACAACAATGTATCCAACTACAAGTACTTTGTATTCTTCCCAGTGATCTGATCCCCCAGAAGAGGCGTTCGTGGCAGATTGTAACACTGTTTCACAACAATCGTCTACACTTCCTCCCACTAACGCATCTCTCTCCAGAGAGGCAACACCAACCACGGCTTTCTGTGAAAAGAGAATCCGGAGGAAGTGCTGAACACCAGATCCAAGGAAAAAACGACTTTCTAACCAGATGACACACAACCTGTCGCTTAGGGCAGGTGTCTGTGAAGGTGGCAGGTGTTAGAAGGAGAAGCTCAGGGGAACCTGCGCTGCTGGGGACCCTGGAAATCCATGTCCCAGGCACCTCACGATGGGCTCACGCTCTGCAGGCAGGTTGCTCACCTGACAGTGGCCAGAGTGGGAAGAAACACACTGGGGAAAGCGTCCGGGGTGTGACGTGAAGAAGGGACTGCTGTGTTTCTATTGGGGGAACTTGGCTCTGGCCAGGAGAGTCAATGCTGGCTGAGGGTGGGGTTCTCAGGAGGGAAAGCGAGAGGGTGCTGGGGATGGAAGGACTGCGGGCTGGGGAGTACAGCCCAGATGTCAGCCCAGAGGGCCAGGAGTTATAAACCACCACAGGTTCCCAGTTCTTGGTTCAAATTACTCCCATGTGTCAAGTTCTAGGTACTGAGGGTGCAATAAAGAGTGAGACAGCCTGGCCAGGCGTGGCTCAGCGGCTGAGCATCGGCCTAGGATCTAGGAAATCGGGGTTCGATTCCCGGTCGGGGCACAGGCCCGGGTTGTAGGCTAGGCAGCCGATCAATGACTCTCTCATCATTGATGTTTCTCTCTCTCTCTCTCTCCCCCTCCTTTCCTCTCTCTGAAATCAATAAAGATACATTTAAAAAAAAAAAAAAAAAGAGTGAGACAGAGCAGTGGCCCTAAAGGAGGGAGCGTCTAGGGCAGAGAGACACAAAATCAAATGTCAAGCTAAAGTCACATGCATGGGTGACTGGCATCAAGACCCCTCCTCTGAGCTGAGGGGCTCCAGGAGATGCCACGGGGACTGTTAGAGGGAGAAGAGGGAGGGCGCCACCCTCGGCATCAGGCACAGGGCTTCCTCTTTTCACTCTTTTGATAGATTGGCGCTCCCCTTATGACTTCATTTGGAGAAGGAATTCCAACAAACAAAAACCAAAATTTCAAACACCTCTCTACCTACTTCTCTTGTTAGAACACAAAAGCCCAGAGCCAGGGAGTGAATGCGGTGACCTGCCCTGCGGTGGGCCAACCGCAGCAGGTGCCGTGACTATGAGAGGTGGGCACCCAGCACTGGG